CCCCGGAGGCCCCAACCCGCTACCTTGTTGGCTAGAAGTCCAAATCTCTAACCACTACTTCACGGGCAGTGGTAGAATACCTACTACTCCGGTTTCTTAACATGAACACATATGCATACATGTGCGTAATTTAGTGCTTAATTGAACATACCTCCATTGTTAGGCCGTGGCCTCGAATAAAGAACCCGCCAAAGAGAATCCTCTGAACGTTGTTTAGGCGAGCATAAAGACAAGCCAGCTGGCCGATATTGCTAAAAGTTGAAAAATAAAGATATAATTAGAGTAAATGATAAATAACAACGTAAACGCGCGTCATATTGGTGGCTATGCGGCTTTCTGCGAGGGATCTAGATTGAATCCAAATAAAAAGACGGGATAAACACGCCATGTGACCTGATTCTAAAACTTCAATCGAGAATCCCCGAGGATTCGTGCACAAAATACGGGGAAAGACAGTTGCAGGAGATAATTATATCCGTCGATGTCCTTTCTCTCTTTACGTCCATTCCACTGGATTTTGCAAGGCAGTGTAAAGAAGCATGCCTCCAGTCTTACGAAACGAGTATTCTTACATGCCTTAAACCTTAATTTTAAAACCAACTTTTCGGTTGCATAGAACTACTATGTTCAGCCAAAGGGCGCTCCTACAGCGTCACCTACCGATGGCTTTCTGTTAAGATGTCCGGATGTAACAGTTATAGACTACGTTCATACGCCATTCGTAAACCGCATTTTGTGCACAATCCAGTTAGCCACTGCGATTAATGCTCCATTAAAACTCAGTCTGACGGATTTTTAAGAGCACAACCAAGAGAGCAAATTGCTAATACAAGCGAACATGCGAGTCCCAGGAAGAAAACGAGAAGAATACGACTCGATCGCTGGAACAATGCCTTTGTTCGCCTGAAGTTTCGAGATCCGTCGCAGATTCGTCATCAGAGACATAAACAGATAGCAGTAGCAGATACGGGTAGCGTATGCGCAGGAGTTTGCAGTATTTATACGATACAGTCATTACTCCAAAAATACAACGACGATTAACGCTAATTGCCTTCTTGCGTGTTGTAAGTTTGTTGAACAGCATGCGGGCTCTGACCTGCTGAACTTTCATCCCGTGTGGTGGACTCGGGCGTGATGATTGCTCGGCAATCTGGCCCTCCGGTGTTGGCGTAGGATGACGCGATGGCCTGTCCGTTCCCAAAGTGGCGACCCGCTTTGGCCAAATTTAGTCTTAGCACCGAATATGGATTGGGCAAATCGTTGCACTCGCTTGTGAATTGGGGCCCCGTGGACCATGACTCAAGTAATTCTCGGCTCACTCGATTGTCACCTGGCCGAAATTCTCGCAAGAGTTGCACAGAACTACTACCAAAGGGCGCTCCTATATTGCTACCCACCGCCGGCTTTTTGTTTAGATGTCCGGATGCAAATTTTAGAGACTACGTCCATACGTCCTTCGTAGACTGCATTTGAGCACAATCCAGTTATACACTGCGATTAATGCCCTACTACAACTCACAATCTGGCGGCTTTTCAAGAACACGCAACAAAGAGAGCAAAATGCTTACTTGCTGACAGCAATAAGAAGGGCCTTTATCAAGTCAGCAGGTCGTCGAGTCTCATCGGGTCGACGGGCCGCAAGACCGAAGGAGCTGGCAATTACGTCACCCGCCAGACCCAGAGACTCGTAGGCTCCCCCGTAGATGTCTCGCACCAGCATGTCGACCTTGCGGTGGTCGCCTTGGTCGGCTAACTCCAGAAGTGTGTCGAAGGAGGGTCCATCTTTGAGATGAGGAAGAGAATACACAGGCTTTACAACATCAGAGTGGAAATAATTCAGAGTCGCACTTGCTATTACTGCCAACAACGGCTAGGCATCTCAGGCATGTTTCAGGCATACTTCAGAGGCTAACAAAGTTAAATGTTTCCCTTGGTTGACCAATAGTCCATTTATCGAAGGTCTGACACAGTAGGGGTCGTTTATGTGGACGCAGGGCGAGAGAGGGTAGTGAGAAGGCCCCGCAATACGAGTGGCTTTGCGCTAAATTCAAGGGAAATTAAGGGTGTAGTTGACGTTAAGGTTAGGATTAACGATAAAATTGGTGTTAGGGTTCGAATTAGAGTGGGAATACGAAAGTAGGCACCCTTTCTGGAAATAAGCGTAATACCATTCGTACTATGAAGGGGCTGTTTCTATTCCCCTGTACCGTAGGCGGAATGGTATATAAACAATTTTCTGAAGCCACTTTCCGAACATCCAATCCTTCATAATTTACAAGAACAGTATTCGTCTAACTTCGGTGCAGGATTCCCCTAGCTGGCTTACGCGGATTGGCCTTCATTATAAGGAGTAAAGTTAAAGTAACGTATGGGCGAGACGCACGTTCACTCAAAATCATACGGTAGCTGGTATCCGTCTATAAAGTTGTGCCAATGCAAAACTTACCAAAAACGTACATAAAATAATCTGATTGACCAAATTCTGAAATATTTGCGGCCTTAGTGGGAGTCGAGCCCACACAGCAGGAAAGGCTTTTGCCCAGCCAACGCTCTACCACTGAGCTAGGAGGCTCGCCGTGCGTCGTGAGTTTAATCACACGTGGGTCGGTTTGCTTGCCCAGCTTTACTGCACGTAAAGAATCCACTAATACGAACGCAGTAAGCTGACGGCTAGGCAGGATCTCCTAAGTAATCATCTGGGATTCACCGGATGGACCACTGGGCTAACTGTGGATGATTACTCAGGAAATCCTGCCAGGCAGTCAGCTTACTGCGTCCATATTGGTAGATTCCTTACGTGCAGTAATATTGGGCAAGCAAATCGACCCAATCACGGCGCACGGCGAGCCTCGTAGCTCAATGGTAGAGCGTTGGCTGAGCAAAAGCCTTTCCTGCCGTGTGGGTTCGACTCTCACCGAGGCCGCGAAATTTTCATAATCGGGTCAATCGGTTTATTGAAATCTGCCAAAACCCTAACATACAATGATCTCTCCAGGAAATCACAACTTTTTAATGAAGAAAACTGATTATAACAGTCGCAAGTGAAGCCAATCAACACCATTTGAACTAAGGTAAACCGATTCTATTGAGTGTAACAGTAAGAGTCAACTGCGTGTCCCGAATGCAATTTAGTAGCAAAGAAGTCTTCAAAATTTGTGAAAATTGAAATATATTTTTGTACTGTGCAAACTGAAAGAGACCTAGGTTTCGATAAGTAATAGTGGGCTGTGGGG